CTTTCGTGAGGTTTCTTCAGCAAGAGGGAGGTGACAAAAATAAAGTGGGGACCTTGAATTTAAAAGAATCGTAACTATGTTGAAACTAAGAAGTTTCGTCTGGATATTTCCCAAGTATTAGAGGACTGTCGAACTGAATAAATCTGAGGACAAGAATATTCTTGCAAAATGCATTATCCTAAAGTCAGCATATAGATGGAAGAAATGTCGACATAATTTATTTTAAAAGCAAATTATCATTCGATAAAGTGGTATATTGAAGGTGAGCAAAACTTTAAAGTACTGACAATGGCACACTTTGGAAGATTTCATGCCAAAAATTGGAAAACAAAGACTACTACTGTCAAAAACCAATATTTCTATAAATATTTGAGACTTCTTAAATTTAATTAAATCTAATTTCTTTCGTCTGAAATTTAGAAAATAATCCAGTCTGTGTACTGGTTCCATTATTTCGATTGCGGTCCCTTATCGTCACTAAGGAGTAAAAGAAAGTTTAGTTGACATTGTGTATGTGACCTTTTGACAAAAATTTAATTATGAACTGAAATTTAATAATGGATATATGGACTAATTGCTCGTTTTTCATCTTTCTTTTTCTATTCCATTTTACTTTTTATGCCTAATTGCTGTTCAATTTTCTTTTCTTCATCCGAGTTTCGCATTTCCAGATAGGCAAATCGTCTATTGTTTATTTTCCATTAGCGTAATAATTTGCCAGCCTGCTTTATATTTTGCTTTTTGTGCATTTAGTTCAACGCCAGCAACATCCAACCATAGATATTTGACTGACAGTGACTTGAATTACCTAAAACTAACTACAGCTGCGATGTTGCCACGTTTCGTTTTATCTAAAGCTTGTACGTAATTTGCGCGCAATGAGCGCAAAATAAAATACAAAACAACATAAAACGCGCACACACACACGTAGTCGTAAAAGTTTAGCGTTCGTAAGAGAGAGAGAGCCGGAGAAATATAATTGAGTTTGCTCGCCTCTCTCTCTCTCATGATTTGCTCTTTGCATTTTCAATTCGCCGCAAATTAAAATGGTGGTTGTGTGCGTGAGCAGAGAGCCAACAATTCATTGGATATTCAATTGTGAAGCTCTCTGCTGCAAACAAAACAAAAAACTTTCGCTCGTTTATTTCCTCAACGGAAAAAGGTCACAAAATACTCAAATTGAGAAACACCACCAGTCCCACCCCACCCCATGATACTATGCACAAGTGTGTATGTGTGTGTGAGCTTGTAAATGGAAAAATTGCTTTTAAATTTCAATGTTGCCAAATTTCACTTGGCAATGTTATTCGTTCTCAGCGTTTGTTCAACGAAGAAAAAATGGTGCGGCCAGAGAAAAAAGCTTAGCCGTTATCAATGGGACTTCATTATTTTTAGCAAATCATAATCTTTATCGCCTTTAAATGCCCTGACATGTCCTCCGCCATCGTCCCTCTTTGGCCAACTGTTTGTATGCACTTGTCGGAACTTAATATTGGGTCTTCATTTGTTATTAGCTCCACTTTACGTCATATGTTTATTTATTTATTGATTTATGATGGTGAAGAGTGGGATGTTGCTGCCTTGGTCGGTGTGGCGCTTTGATTCATTTTTATGGCCGCCACAACATCTGGATGATATTGAGTTGTTACGAAATGTCAGAAATGAAGGAGACTTGTCATCTCAATGTCATTTGGTGCTGGATATTGAGAAGTATGACAATAAGTGTCAAGAGAATGTGATGAACAAAAAATCATATCTTGGGTATTCTTCACCATAATATGGAGTTTATAGGGTAATTTGTTATAACTTAATGTGGAAAAAAGCATATTAACTTAAACATATTAAAACAGCTATCTCTGCGTAGAATTTTTGATCAGAAAAGATGATTTTTCTATGGAAATTCACATTTTCTTAGAGAAAATATAGTGAAGTCTAGGTTAAAATCATCAAATTTTCATCAGGATTTTTACGATTCTTTTAAATTGATGTCTCCACTTTTTTTCTTCTTAAGAATATAAGTACATTTTGGTAGAAGAAATCATATTTGTCGAAATTTTATACAAAGATAGCTAGCTGACATATTCAAGCTAATAAAAATTTCTTTTTTACATTTAGTTTCAAAAATTCTTATTTATTTGAGTTTAAATAAAAAAATATGTCGACTACTGGGACATGTCGAACTTAGGCGCACTTAACCTATATGCTTACAGCATGTGACCATTTATGTACATCTCTTGTGAGGGAGTCACTAGGACCTACATATCCTATTTTCACACTTAATCTAATGTTGGCGAAACTATTGCTATGCGAGAAAATTGAAGAGAATCGGAAAAAACTTTTCCCACTTTATGAGAGTTAATGATTTTTCCAAATTTTGGAACCTTTTAGGGAGGAAAGCACATAGTGTGATCCGATATTGCTTGCCTTCAAGGCGACTATATATATATATATATATATATATATATATATATATATATATATATATATCCCATTAAAATATATCATGGGATTTCGTCTAAAATATTGGCAGGGGCGGAATGTGGACCAGATCGGAAACGAAATTTACATTTTATGCGATTTACGACTGTTTAAAAAAGTGTCCGTACAAAAATTTCAAAAAGTTGACTGATAATCGTCCATTTTCTCACCTTTTTTACCGAGCCAAATTTGGAAGATATACTCATTATATGATATATTTTTGGTTAATTTTGAACTTTTGTGAGGGAGATACCAGAAGGAGTTTGACAAAAAAAATCTGCAAAAACATTAAGATATGCAATGTTTGAAGTAAATCGGATTATTTCTTTGCCTTTTATTAGAGTTGTGCTAATTTAAAATTCTGATCGATCGATCGATTGCGAAAAAGGTACTAGACAATGTCGTCCGATCTGGTCAATTTTCATACGTGATCAAAGCCTGATATATATATTACAATGTAAAAAGTTTCAGTTTCAATTGGAGGTTCCTTTCACTTTCTACGAAATATATAAATTGTTCTGAAAACTATTGAGGGGGAGGTGACAGAAGTGTCCATCATAGATGGTCCATTTAATTTTTTTTTGTTTGCTTTTCGACTTCCAAAAACTTGTAACCGTCGGAAATGTCATATACCTGTATAAAATGTCGAAATATCCGAAATTTGAAATATCCTACATAATGAATCCCAAGTTGGTTTTTATAGATTTTGGTCATATTTTTGAAATCTCGTTGATCCAAGTAAGATGATGGGTTCCTTGTGTAAATTTATTGAATTGAATTTATTTGCTATGAAATGAAAAACTATAAAAGTAGGATTTTCAAACAAAATGCTATAAAAAGGTTTAAAAATGTACGATTTTGGAGGGGGGCTGGAAATCTAACCCCTCCTTACAACGTCGTTGGTGTGGACCGATTTCTCAAATGAAAGACATTCGAGCATTGACAGTTATAATAATCCTGACAATCTTCCTATATATGCGTTCTGGTTTCTGTCGAAAGCGGTGTTATTTGCCGAGGTTTACTACTTTTTTGAGGAAAAGTATGTGAGTAGCACAATATGCTGAAATCCGAACTTAATATAAGTTTGACACACTTATTACGGATACTCACACCCTGTGAAAGTTATTTTGCTCACCAGCCGGGCAGACATTTTAACATGGGTAGAAGAATATAGGTAGACGCATCGAAACAGCTGCTGGAACAGCGGATTGTCAAACCAATTTTGGAATGGAAAATGTTGAATGAAAAATTATTTATATTTGTTGTTGAAAACGGCGAATTATGATAATCTCCGAATGAAGTCGTATAAGAAAACGTATAAAAAATCTACTTATATTTGAAAACACATTTAAAAACGTTCAACATATCAATGTTGCCAAGGGTCAAATCAAAATATATGTACCTAAATACTCCGGTACCATAAGCTAAGATTATCAAAAATGTGAGGATGTTGATTTTACAAGAATCGTAATTTAAAAGAATTATCCATCATATTTTTTTATAATATCAAACGGCTCAATTATAAAAAATTGCTTTCAGGACCAACAAATTTTGAAATTTGAGGTCATGACATGTTTCTATAGTTGACATACAGATTTTTTTTAAAAACTAAATTATTTGATCAAATTCGTTTGATTTGTAAATATGTAATATTTTAAAATACCTATTATTTACATGTGAATAGGTGCAAATTGTTGTTATGGATTCATAAATATGTCGTCGTAGGAATTGGAACTATTTATTGGATAATTACATTTTATTATGTTTCCATGTAAAATGATTTGATGTTTCTCATGCCTAAAAGCTTGCCTTGGCTCCTTAGAACAATTCATTATTTATGAATTATTTCACAACTTTAAAAAAATAGCTTAACAAAAATATATCTTTATGAAATTCAAGTGATAAATTTAGCTAACCGCAAATAAATGACCTATTACGGGGAGTGGAATTTCAATAGCAAACACTCGAGTACCAACAGATGGAAGTTACGTCATTATTTTCCTTGGCACAGCAGGTAACTTTCCCACCGGTACAACACAAACCGCAATGCGTCTTCGCGTCCGAGTCAGTCAGTCCGTTAGCCAACCAACCCACATCACCTTTCCTATATGGCTTCTTTTTCATTGCAAGCGAATGCGGTTGTTGTGCATTTTGATTTATGCCCATATTATGAAAACATGCTCCGTTCCAGATGCCCCTCATAAATCAGTTCTTCTTTTGAACAACACAAACATTTTTCGTATCACCATTAAAGCCATTTTTAATCGGTGAAATATTAAACAAAAAACAGAATCGCCGCACGTCAGCAACACCAGTCGATGCAGACAGACGGAAGATGACGACAACAAAGACGTGTGGACAAAATTAAAAATGGAGAAACCAAAAAAAAACATACATGCCCCTCTACAAGCAGCAATGTGCCGTCGCTTCTACCAACGGGCCAATCGACATTGCCAAGCGCAAGTCAACTTCCACGTAGAGCTGTCAAACTATCGAAAGCACTATCGATAGTATCGATAGTTTATTTTTTTTAGTGAATATCGATAGTTTTTAATCACTATCGATAGTATCGGCAAAATGTCATCACTTACGCGTATGTTGTGACGCTGCCACTTTTTCGGTAAGAGAAATAAACAACAGCTAAGTAATAATTATATTTAAGTTGACGGTTCTACAAATCATGGAGAAGTTCCTGAAAAGATCAAAAAGTAAGATTTAATTAATGACCTGTTCGTTATTTGTGTGTATTAACATTTTATTAACAACGTATATAGCAGACTCAGCCAGCAAAGAAAATGTAATTGATATTGGCAATATCAACAGTGGTAGTGAATCTGATATTGGATTTGAAAAAATAAGAACAAGAAAGATGTCATCAGAAGCATGGGCCTTTTTTGAAAAAACGAAAGATGGAAAACATGCTAAATGTCGTGTATGTTCCCAAACATATAAAACCAGCGGCAACACATCAAACCTTTTCGACCATCTCAAACGAGCTCACCCGACTTTCCGAGAATTGCCAAAACCAGCAAATACTATCAAACCCTTTCTTAAAAACGTTGAAACGTATGCAAATACCTCGGAACGTAAACAAGCAATTGACAGTGCCTTAATGGGTATGATTGCTTCCGATGTCCAGCCATTCAGCATTGTCAATGACAAGGGTTTTCAGAAATTTATAAAATGTTTAGACCCTCGCTACGAATTGCCATCTCGTAATACTTTACAAAATGTGCATATGGCAAATTTGCACAAAAAAATCAAAGATAAATTGCAAGATATTCTTAATGAAGTCGATTACTGCTCAATTACTACGGACTGTTGGACATCTCGTGCAAATGAAGGTTATTTAACCGTCACGTGTCACTTCATCACGAATGAATTCACCTTACGTTCAGCTGTTTTATCAACAAAAAAACTTCTAGTGGCCACCAATCACGGTTCAGATAATATTGCATCTTCGTTGCGTGCTGTTTTCAACGAATGGGGTATTATGGAGAAGGTCGTGTGCGTTGTTACAGATAATGACAGCACTATGATTAAAGCATGTGAGCTGCTACAGAAACGTCATCTTCCATGCTATGCGCACACAATAAACCTTTTGGTTCAAGACTGTTTAAACCAAACATTTATAAAAGAAAATGTTTTAGCAAAGTGTAAACGAATCGTGACATTTTTTAAGTCCAGCACAATCGCATATCAAAAGTTTAAGGACATACAAGCGACAGTTAAACCGTATAGTCTGCTGCAGGAGGTGCCCACACGTTGGAATAGCGCATACAGGATGATTGAGAGAATATTGCTTACAAATGACTTTATTTCAACTGTACTATTAGCAACATCAAAAGCTCCATCACCTCTGACTGCAGATGAAATTGACTTCTTGAAGGATCTTAAAGAAATTCTATCGCCCTTTGAAAATGCCACCGTACAGACGTCATTGAGTTCATCTGTATCAGTTTCCTTAATAATACCATTAACATGTGGCCTCTTCCAAAGTCTTCAAGAGCTAAAAGGAAAAATGAAGACACCAGAAGGACTCCAAGCGTGCCTATTCTTAATCGAGCGGATAAAGAAGCGTTTATTTCCTTATGAGGACCGAACGGCAACAAGATTAGGCACATTATTAGATCCACGGTTTAAAAAAGAAGGATTCCGATCTGTGTTTAATGCAGATCAAGCATCAAAAGTCCTAGAAAATGAAATGGCTGCTATATGTAAGGGGCATTCTTCAACTGTAGAACCGTCAACTTCACAAAGCATGAACAATGAACCGCAACAGCCACTCCTTAATTTTATGAAAAGTAAAATAGCTAACAAAGTAAGAACAAGCCGAGTTGATGCAATAGTCTATACTCGACAGTATTTTGAAAATGAAAATGCTCCGACAGAAAGTGATCCACTGGAATATTGGAGAGTAAGAATGATGATTTAACTACATAACATATTAACGTAACATTTTTTTTACAGTATAATGCCAATGACATGTCTTCACTTAAAATATGTGCGACACGTTATTTATGTATTCCAGCCACTTCAACCGAATCGGAAAGGATGTTCAGCAAAGCTGGCTTAATAATTTCAGACAGAAGAACTTGCCTAAAATCCAAAAATGTAGACATTCTTCTTTTTTTAAACAAAAATGACTGGATTACCCAATAATTTTCACATAGAAAATAGTATATGCTTCGATACCAATATTAGTGTTAAAGAACACAATTTTTTCAATTGTATTGAAATTGAAAATCAACGTATCTTTTTTGGATTTCAAAATTTTTATTTAAATAAGATAGTCGTTCAAAAGTTTGTTTTTATGTTCCAAAAAATGTTTCATTAAAGCGATAATGAATTCAAAAAATTTTATTTTAATTGGAACTTAAAAAAATTTAAATTAATATTTAAAAATATTTATTTTTAATAGAACGTATTTTAATTTTAAATGTAATTTTATGGATTCGCCTTAAAGCACTATATATAGTTCATTCAATGATCTCATGAATTTACTAAGTCATTGCTATTAGCGCTTTTGTTTTTTCCTTTTTATATTCTTGAATAAAAATGTTATTTTGTTGTTTAAAATATATTGGTAATTTGTTCTTCAGGAAAAATAATACTGATTTGTAGATAATCAGTAAACATGATTTAATCATATAGCCTTCTCGGCCAACTTTAACCGGTCCTATACCGTTGCATTATATGACTAAGTATTGGTGATTGTAACATCTGAAAGAATGTTACGAATTCGAATCTGTCCATCTGTTTCTTGTATGTCTTACAAAATATCCCTCCCCATATTAGGCTCGCCTCTATACAAAATATCCCTCCCAATATTAGGCTCCGGGGCTCGAAAAACTCCATATGACTTTAGATACTAGTCGAATTCGTCATGCTGCACTAACCAGGCGAGAAATGCAATATTCAGTCCAATTATGAATAAAAATTCCTAATGAAAAAAATTATTTGAAAAATTGAGTTGGAAAATTGGAAATTGAATTGGTGAATTGTTCTTGAGGATTTTTTAAAGGGAGAAATTTTTATTCATAATTGCGCTGGTTACATATCCGATACTATCGATAGTATCGATAGTTTTACAACAAACTATCGAAACTATTGAATGGGACGAATATCGATAGTTTGACAGCTCTACTTCCACGTCGGACAGCCAACGCCAAACTAAACATTCAACGAACGTACTGTACTTTTGCCCAGAAATAACTCAATCGAGCTCAGAGTAAACAATGGAGAGTCTTGTCGTCGTCGTCCCAACAGCAAATACGAGAGGTATGTAGCCGAACGATAAGGAGAAGAACAACAAAAAACACCACCACTGTTTGAGGTGGTGAGAAAGTTGTTTAGCAGGAAAACAAGTTGACAGTACAATACGATTGGTTGTGGCATTCGGCAAACATACGAGTTCACACGACACACAACGAATATTGTTTTCCATGACCAATGAGAGCACAGAGAGAAGGTAGGTGGGATTTACAGTGGAATGAGACATGAATTGGGGAGGGTTTTTGTTGTGTGTTTTGGGCGTTGGTACGTAGCAGAACATGTGTGCTGTTCTTTTGAAACCCGATTAAAAGAACGAATGGGTAGGTTAGTAGAGAAGAAGAGGAGATACACACACAATTCGAAATAAAAAACAAACAAACGAACGATAAGGAAAATAATAAAATCAAGTCATTTGGCTGGAGGTGGATATTTTAAGTGGTGTGTCAGAACTTGACTGTTTTCGTTTAACGAATTTTGTGTACCTATTTATTTGAACATTTAATCTTATGGATATTTTTGGACGTGGAATGGAAATTTTATACCAACTAAAATAAGTCGAATGTTGGGCAGAAAACGTTATCTTTAAATGTTTTGTTCTCTCTTTAAGTTTGGGTTTAAAAATGTTTTTGCGTCGCAAATTCCATTTGAAATGGACGAGAATGCAGAATTCTAAATTATGTGTGGAGGAATAAAAAGAGGTTAATTTCAAGAACACAATGTTTTCATAAAAGAGCAGATCATGCTATTCATTTCAGCGCTGTTTAAGTATTTCTCAAGCAAGAGCAGTTATCACCAGAGTCTTGTGGAAAAAGGAAGAATAAACTTTTCACAGCAAGAACATTTGTTAGCGTTGGCAATGTGTACTGCATTGTCTCTTTTTCAAGAGCTCTGTAATTTTAGATTCTTTTTGTATATAAGCGCATAAATACGGAACGACACGCAAGTGATTTGGACTTGTAATACTTCCGTACTCTACATTTGTTTTACTACATTTGTTTGTTTTTCTTCCGAGACGAGCTTAATGCTACGAAATTTGCCGTGGAAGCAAAGCCAGTGAGACACTTTCACACACTCATTGCTATGCGACACGTTTGGTTAAGCGGCATTATTATCCACGTTCAATAATGCCGCTTAACCAGGCTTACAAGGCCGTTCTTTGGAAAATAGTATTTATTAAGGAGTCATTGTGGTTAAGCATATTATAATTAACCACCAGAACAATCCATTTTTGACTCAAGTTGTACTAGCAAATCTTTTTCGCAGCAAACCTTGTTTTTTTGTAGCAATGGGCTTTTTCCCAGTGTGAAGGCCAAGAAACCTAAGAGGATCCATTCAGACAAAATTCAGTAATTAAATTTTACTGTAAAACAATGGAAGTAGGCACCATAAACTTCATTTAGGGTTAGCCGATGTCTTGTTAGAGAAAAAGTCACTCTATGAGGCCTTAAATGCGATGCACGAATCCACGGGATAATACAATATAAATGTGTCACATTTTTAAAACGGGGTTTAATAATTTTTATTGGAGGCGATTTAGAGGTGATCGGAACTTCGAAGAGAGCATCCGAACTTGGTCCAAACTTGGCTCATCATTATATTTTTACCAAACATAGATCGAGTTCAGTGATGAACAATATCGGTCTATTCCTTCTGATACCTTCCCCACAAAAGTTTACAATTTTGACAGAAAAAAATTAACCTTATAGAACAAAGAAGGATCACCCAATTTACTTTGCAAATATCGATATTTCTGTCAGTGCCAGGTGAGGTGCGAAAATGGACAATACCCCTCCCCCACAAAGGGTCAATATTTTGAATCAAAAAAAAACTACCAAATCCATTGCAGGACATTTGAATCGATCTAGGGCTATCTGTACGTCTGTCTGTCTGGCCGGTATGTACGATAACTCTCGAAGGGAGTCTCCGATTTTGTCCAAACTTTGTTCATCGTAATATTATTGTCAAACTTATATAGACTTCGGAGAAGAAAAACATCGATTTACTCCTTCTGGTACCTCCCCCACAAAATATCAACATTTTAATTAATAATCGGAAAGTAATCAATGATCCACATTCCTATATTTTAATCAGTAGTGGGTTAAATTTGAAAATGGACTACATCGGTCGACTTTTTCTGGTAGATCTCTTACAAACGTTCAATAATAAAATTGTAATTTTAATTGTAAACAAATCTCATATAAATTGGATAAAGTAGTCGATATAGTCCTAACTTGGAACGTCTCAATATTTATCTCCGACTTTGGCCAGATGCGACATGATCAACTCCTACGGTACCTCCCCCATAAAGGTCCAAAATTACTTTTTTTTAATCATAACGCCAACCAAATTATATTTATATAAACGGACATAGGATGAGGGTGTACATCTGTCTGCAATAACGGCTTATACTTCTTATTTTGTTCTTCTAAATTTTGACTTGAATCTAAAGTGTTCAAAACTCATTTGGAATGGTGTATTCCTTCCCCATTCAATTTCGTATCAATATACAAAGAAAAGCATTTTATTTCTCAGTTTCCTTTTTAGCATTTGCCCAAGCCCGATTTAATCTTTCTTGTTTACCAAACAATTTGTAGGGCAAACCTTTAATACAGAATCATGTAACAGATAATATAAATATCTTTCACCTCCCATTTTCATCCTTAAGTAGGTCACACAATAAATTGTGGTTGGGGAACTACACGTAAATGTGGTCCGCTAGTAAAGAATATGAACCACTTCTCATTGGTCAGGAGTGGGATAATATACCACTAGTCATTTAATTAGTTTTTTTTATTAAAAGGTGTGCTCCTTTGCCGGCACGATACCTATTGCGAGCATTTTTAAGCAAAGAAATTATACAAACTCATTCTATAAAAGAAAAGAAGTTAAAAAAGTTAACAGCTATGTTCGGACTTGATGAACTTTTAATACCCTCCACCATTCTGAAAGAACTTGAAAAATTAAAAAAAATCTGTCGAAAACCAACTCTCAACATTCGGTACTATCATAATTTTTGACATTATTTACCAGAATTGTTTCAAATTTCGTATTTGAAGATCTTAATGGCTACTACAACCTCTGATAAAAAATAGTTATGCAGGCCCACGTTTTCGTATAGTCCCAGAACGGAACATCTCAATATTCGGTATTTTTATGATATTAGAGACGTTATACAAGGGAATTGTTTCAAATTTGGTATTTAATGCTCGTAATGTGTACTATGGCCTATGAAAAAAAATTGTATATGCATCAAGTCCACGTCTACGTATAGCCCCATATAATAATACCCCCGATATTTGGTATTATGATTATTTTCAATTTCGTATTATTTCAAATTTCGTATTTGATGTTCATAATGGATACTGCAACCTAAGATAGAAATTTGTCTTTGCAGATCAACGACTTTGTATAACCAACGGTTCCTTCCTTTATTCAATGTTTGATCATATAAGCGACTCCATCCACCGGAATTGTTTAAAATTTCGCATTTGAAGTTCGGAATCTGTACTACATCTTATGACAAAAAATTACTTGTGCAGGTCCTCGTCTTCGTATAGCCTGCAAATATATTCCTATAAGAAAAACACACATATAAGAAAAATAGCAATTTTTATTGAGTTTCTTATATGCATGGTCTACTGTACTTTGCATGTTTTAAACATATCAAACCTCTGCCGACCCTAGGACCGCTATTGTGTCTAGCCTGCTGGCCCACTATTAAAATTATACAATTTTTTGTTATTGTGAATTGGCTTCTTGTCAACATCTTAAAATATTCAGAGAAAAAAACGATTATTTCACAAAATGTTATATTGCTACATCGGCAATTGATTCCAAAGAGGGCACTAGTAGTGGAATTCTCTAATTTTTTGAATTCCTGACAAAAATCGATAAAATTAAAATTCTTATAATTTCGGTAATTTACGACGAAATTAAAGTTATAGCTAAGACCTATCGATATATACCAATGTTGTCAACTTTAATTTTTGTTTTTTTTATAATCCCTCTACGGACATCAATGTTAAATTTCTTTGGATATCAACATGAACATTTGATTGAAAAAAAGTGTGATTTGAAAAAATAAAAATAACAATTTCTTATTTACAGAACGCATTTATTGACTTATGCCACTCTGTAAATTGGCGATATGTATACACCTGTTATGTACGTTTATATGTATATTTACACCCTGATTTTCTCCTTGTAGATATCCGTTGATATTATTCTACCATATGCTTGAATATAAGTACATGCATCATTTTAAAGTCCTCTCTGCTCCTCTATTTAGCAAAATATTCTACGCCGGGTATTTCACGGTCGTCTAGAAATCTCAACAATCCATTAATCACAATTCCCAATGCTGTTGCTGTGAGTATTTCGACTGCCCTCTACTCCCCTTTCAGACGACCTTTTACGAACGCTTTCATTCATTCATTCATTCAAACATTTCACACTTTTAAGTACCGTTAAATTGTGTGAGTGTGTATATGATTGTCTGTACCCACTGGTCGCCGTATAAACCATTCGTCTAAGCCTTAGATGAACAAAACAGTACGTTTGCGTTGGACTCAGTCGTTGATTAGACTTCAACGAATGCAGACATGCGTGGGGGATGCACGCATTGTTGCTCCGTTAACATTAAGAAAACAAATTATAGATACCTTTTGTAGAAAAATATAAATATATGGAGTTTATATTTAATATTTTTTGATAATTTTGCTAACATAAAGTTAAAATTCTTGCTACAAAACATCCCAAACAAAAAGGGAGATATTATTTACGTGCTTTTTGGTTTCTCTCACACACACAAGCGCAATGTTCATTTTGTGCATCATAGGTCTAAGCTAGCGAATGAATAGTCTGTC